TGCAAAATCATGACCCCAAGTGGAGATTGAAGGGAATAACCAGGTTGTTATTCACCTGTGTCTCTGAAAATGTTCATCTTGGGAGTGTGGTGCAATATTTACTGATATTGAGCGGATGGCAGCTCAAGGGAGAAGTGTGGTGCAATATTTACTGATATTGAGCGGATGGCAGCTCAAGGGAGAAGTGTGGTGCAATATTTACTGATATTGAGCGGATGGCAGCTCAAGGGAGAAGTGTGGTGCAATATTTACTGATATTGAGCGGATGGCAGCTCAAGGGAGAAGTGTGGTGCAATATTTACTGATATTGAGCGGATGGCAGCTCAAGGGAGCTTCTCTTTTAGTTGGAGGTCGAGAACCGCCAACAAGGCTGCTCATTAGGATGGCCCAAGCCTCTCTCCATGGTCGCTTTCGTCTTGATTGGGTTGCCAACCCCCAACAGAGTTTGCTTTACTTCTTAAATCCTCTTAGCTTAGGCTTTTCCTTTGCTTGCTGCTGTGAGCTTTCTTTCGAGATGCGTTTGCCTTTGTTTTTGGGTTCCTCTGGTTTAAAGCTTCCTATAATCAAAAAATATATATACATAAATAAAATAAAACGAACCGGTACAAAATTAATTGGGAAATGCTAGGTGTCATAAAGAATTTTCATGAAAACTGTCATGAAAACCATCTGCACCGTTAGATCAGGTATGTGTCTCATGATCCAACGGTGCAGATGGTTTTCATGACAGTTTCCATGACAGTTTTCATGAAACGTAGCAGGACCCAAATTAATTTGACAATCAGAAAAACACATTTGTACAATTGTTAACAAATGTGGTCAAATAGATTGGAGCAATAGTGTTATTTTATAAATATGTACGTATTTTCACAACACTTCTTTTTTTTTTCGAAACAAGAATGTCGTAAAAAATTGGGTGAAAGAATTTTTTAATTTGACAAGTTTGGCTTGATTATGGCTTTTGAAATTTTTGATCAAAATCATCATGCCCAACACCCAAAAAAAAAAAAAAACATTTTCAACATACAAAATTATGATGCAAAAAAAAAATTGTTACAATTTCTATAAATTATTTCACAAAAACATTTTTTCAATTACATGTTTTCAACATTGTCTAATATTTCGTTTTTTACAAAAATAAAACATACATATTTTATAAAAACAAAATGTTTGATTATGAATTTTAAAAAATAGTCCATAAAAAATAATCTAAAGAAAACGCCCGTTTGTGTATGGTTTTTGAGTTGTATGAGTTTTGATGAGCAAACAACAATGATTCATCTTACTAATTTGGGAGCACTAATAGACCATTAATAAGGTGGAAATTCAAAAAAAAAAAAAGAGCACTAATAGCTCTACAGTGGTGTTGGTCCCACATAATGGGATGTTTTGCTCTTTTTTTTTTTTAAAAATTTTCACCTTATTAGTGGTCCATTAGTACTCTCAAATTAATGGGATGAATCATTGTTGTTTTTGTTATCAACAATCTTGATCCCGCGGTTCAAAAAAAAAAAAAACAATCTTGATCCCAAAATAAAAAATACGGTACCAAAAAAAAAAGGAAAATATTTGAGATCTCCTTTTGGGAGATCTTCACCACCTCTACAGTGACGTGGATCAATAATGTATTTGTATTATTTTTTTTTTTATTTTTTTATTTGAATTAATCACAAGTGAGTGGAATTGTGAAGTTGATATTTTGTAGGAATTGTAAGATTTAATAATACATGTAACCATAATAATAATACGGAATTAAACTTTACATGATCTTGAATTCAATACAACTCAAGAATAAAACGAACATACCTTTGTCAGCCATTGAATTAGAGAAGTTGAGAAAATACCCCTTAGAGTTGAACCTTTAATTTTGGCTCACCTTCTTCTCTCTGTCTCTCTTAATTCGGATGACTATAAAACTTAAAGTGATGGAAAAATACTCATGATATGAAAAGGGAGTCACCCATCCTTATATAAAGGAGAGAAGAGGGCCAAATAAACTCTATCAGAAGAATTCCTAATCCATCAAGGTTTCCTTCTTATCTTAGAAGAGTGATTTTATTAAAATTCTATTTACTGAACTTGATCTCAAATATTGGCTTTATCTATTTGTGGAGTCCAAATAAATTAAAACATGTAGAAAATATGTAGGCTATTAGGCCACACTAGAAAAATAAATCCAACAAGAATCACAAATGAGAAAGGGTGGGAAACAATGCCCGAAGAAATCCCAGGAAGGTCGGAGGAGTCAATATAGCCTTACTTCTAAGTCCAAGCACCTTAGATAGGAAGCTATCTGTTTGACAGATCTTAAGGGGTATTGACACAATGTCTGTGCTTAAGTTTTCAATTAACACTTGTTGTTTCTGGACTCTCTCTCTAACAACCAAGTACTTTACTTCTATGTGTTTGGAACCACTGGAGTACTTTCCATTCTTAGAGAAGAAAACTGTTGCGTTATTGTCACAATATATCTTCAGCGACCTGACAATTGGGTCAACAACACCAAGTCCTGAGATGAAATTTCGCAACCATAAAGCATGATTTGTAGCCTTAAAGCATGCCACAAACTCAGCCTCCATAGTAGATGAAGCAATAGTGGACTGCTTCACACTCTTCCATGAAATTGCTCCACTAGCTAGTAGAAAAACAAAACCCGATGTAGATTTTCTACTATCAAGGCAACCAGCAAAATCTGAGTCTGAGTATCCGATAACTTCCAACTGTTCTGATCTCCTATAGGTGAGCATATAATCCTTTGTTCCCTGAAGATATCTCATAACTTTCTTTACTGCTTTCCAATGTTCCATTCCAGGATTACTTTGGAATCTTCCCAACATTCCAACTGCAAAACTAATATCTGGCCTGGTACATGTATGGGCATACATCAAGCTCCCTACAGCTGATGCATATGGAATGTCCTTCATTTGTTTTCTTTCCAAGTCATTCCTTGGACACTGTTTTTCACTTAATTTATCACCCTTCATGATGGGTGCATCACCGGCTGAACAAAACTGCATATTGAATCTCTCCAAAACACGATCAATATATCCTTTTTGAGATAGTCCTAGCAATCCTCGAGATCGATCCCTAAAGATCTCTATGCCAATAACATAGTTTGCCTCACCCATATCGACCATTTTAAAGTTCTTGGAGAGATATTCCTTGGTTTCATGCAATGAGCCAAGGTCATTACTAGCTAACAAAATGTCATCCACCCATAATAACTGAAACATTAGGGCCAAGTTTGGCATAACACAAAAAAGTCAAAAAGTCACTATCCTATTTAAGTCACATCATTCTATTTAAATCACATCACCTCTCTACCACATCACTTCAAACCCAACCCATATTTCATAAAAAGTCAAAAAATACACTTATTTAGAGCATCCCAAACAACCCCTAGTTCAAAACAAACATACCACAAACCCATACGTGCTACTCTCTATTGGTATTCCATAAATCATGAACCAAGCAGCATTACAAATGCATCCCAAAACTTTGAATAATTGGATTTTAAGGTTTAATAGCAACACAAGGATATGAAACTAGTATAGTCAAGTGTAAGCCATAGGTATAAGGAGAAGGAGCCTAAAACAGATACGCATTGATAAAATTTTGTTCATGAAGCATAGACAAAATCCAATAACCATATTGATCATAGTACGGACTTCGTAAGTAACCATATTAATCGTACAATTACCATCTTAACAAAATCATAAAATAACCATATTAATTGTTTTGGATTTGTTCATGAAGCATATCATTTTGTATTAATGTTAATATTTTGGATAGGTTATGATACTTACCATCTGAAATTTGCAAACAGTTGATTATAAACATATTGTGGTTGAATATTAGATGGTGAATGACTTTAAACAATACTTTAGAAGCACATTTAGTCCTATGAATAATCAACAATCATATTTCAAAGACCATGTAAACAGAAGAGCTTCGAATAAACATTTCCTACAAACAATTCAAATCTAAAATCCACCTGCATTGCCTGCAAGATTTATTGATAGCTATATTATTAAAAACCACTGCCCATTTGAAGTACACACAAAATGGCAATACCTGCTTAAAAACAGTGCTGGTTCCAGAGCCTTGAACCCCAAGTAGAAGAAGTTTCTTAATTTTTTTTTGTTCAAGATAATTTGGAACAGTAGTATAAGTGCTAGCCTCATCCCTTTGTCCATGAGGCTGACCATGGGGCACAGGCAAAGAGAACAAGGTGCAAACAAGCCATGTTGAAGCCTGTCTAACAAAGTGGAATTTTTGAATGTTTCATAAAGGATTCCCACACACTAATATAATCTCCAAAATGTATTCAACTAGAAGTCTTTCGACACATACCTTCTCCCAAATGTTTCCCTTGATATTGTTCTGACCTTCTTCCTCATAACAACCATCATCATACACCCAAACATGAGTGTCACGTGGGCATTGCGCATTAGCCAGCTGAAAAATGATGTAAGTTAGAGTAGAGTACACATGGACCACACTCTGAAGCAAGTGATACAGACAAGAAAATGGGGCTAAGCAATTATAATGTGAAAATTTGACGTGATCTCTCCATACAAGAAATGGAGTATAAATTAACTCTAAGAAACAGCCCTTCTATGTAACCATGAAACTGAATATAATAATGGGGTCATCACCCAACATGTATACAAGGTGCATAAAATGGCAACATCAAATCCACAGACTGTTATGGTCAAATCCGCGCATCTCATACAAATTCTATTTTAACCTATCGTTGATTGCCATAAGTAAAATGTGTCAAACTTGGCTCAAACTTCTTCAATGTGATTAACACTAACTTGGCTCAAAGATTAGTTGTTCAACACATTTGAAAAACTTGGCTCAAATTTTTAGGCTGTTACATTATTCCCTTGCATATTTTTCATTTAACTGATGTGTGTGCTTGTGCTTTTTTGTTTGTAATTTAATAGTTATAATGTTATCATGTTATCATTTTATTTATTTTAAGATTTTATTGACGCCATAAATACACTCGATTATAATATATCACGAGCATTTAAGTGTGAACACTGAAGATAAGCCTCCAAATAAATAAATATATATTTTTTTTCTTTGTAAAAAGAAGTGTGGATACAAGCCTCAAATATACATCCTAAAATCAATAACTTGAATGACCAGCACTTTAATTCATACCTCAGAGAGAACCTTGAGCATCTGATCAATGTACCAAATTTTTTCCGTGGAAAACCTATAGCAGAAAATAGAAATTAAGCAGCCTAAACTTTAAAAATATATATATATATATATATATTAGACGAGAAAACTAATATACTTTAATTACTTATGATTGTCAGCCAATCATATTGATAAATCTTAGGCTGCAATTTGTCCTACTTGATCAAAGCCCAACCATACATTACATGTTAAGATTACATTATAGAAATAAGTTCATACCACTCTGCAAGGTTTCAACAAGAAAGAGGTTCAATGTATGAGGAACCATGAAAAACAATTAAAAAAAAATTTAAAAAAGTAAGTGTGAAGTTATCAACCATAATAGTCATGCCCTGGATTAATGCAAAATGAATAAAGAATGACCTGATATTGTTGTCACGGTTTGATAGGAATCTACCCAAAATATTGATGGCAAGCACCTGCAAGCCGCTGTTATCTTCAATGCTCATAATTGTTTCAACACATTCATATAAAATGGCATTCCCGGCATTTTTGTTCGACTCAGTGTTTGTTGCAACCTGGAAAAAGAATACAGCAATGTCACTAGTACCATTAGACTTTGTCCTATGAACAGGGTACATGCTCTACATTCATATTCAAGATAAATATGCTCATCTACTTTGAGATTGTAAGATAAACAATAGAAAAATAATGATATTCACACTACACTTTTAGCCTCACACTCCACTTGCAACAGGCAAAGCACAAACAAAGGAGTGTGGTAAGCTTAAAGTGCAGTATAACTATCATTGCCATAGAAAAATGTTACATATAACTTATTAGAGCATGCATCATCAAGTCAAAAGAGAGAGAGTATTCATCAATCATGTGAAGCATAAAAAAAACATACGTATGCACATCTTTGCAAGACCACAGGATAATTTATTTTATCGAGCATGCAAGAGCACAATCATGCATTACCAGATCAAAAGAAACAATAGTCATCAATCACATGGAGCATAAACAAAACAAGTATGCAAGAACACAAAGCAGAGAAGATTGCCATTGAGGTAATATATCTCATTGAGTTTGTGTAATTGCAGACCAAGGTACTGAGCGGTTGAGAAAATAGGGTTGAGTAGTTTGGTTCATTTTATAGCGCAACCAATGATGCTATGATCTTCATAATATAACACACAAAAAGACGTCACTTGGACTGGAATGATAATTCTGCGTATTTAGCATTTGATGGGTGAAAATTTTGTAGCATTCCAAATATCCATAAATTTGATATTTAAAGACATGCATTATGCGAATCAAAAATCTTTTTAAAAAAATCATGGTATAATAATTTATCACAAAAGAAGATCATCCATGGAGCAACAAGTCAACAGGAAAGATGGACTCTGGAAAGTGTTCTATTAACGGAGCAATTTGAAGAAATGCAGGGACTTTTTACGGTTTTCGTGGATAATCTTCCAGGAGCAATGAATGCTGAGTCTTTGTTCAAACTCTTCACAAAGTTTGGCATTGTGAAGAATGTCTTTATACCTCTTAAAAGAAGAATAGTGTCAAAATCAAGATTCGGGTTTGTAAGATTTGATTGCCCCGTTGCAGCAGACATTGCCATCCAACAAGCGAATGGTATGTTGGTGGATGATATGGTGCTACAAGTCAAGAAAGCTACACATGCCAGGGGTAACAGAGATGACCAAAACAGAGGGTTATCACAAAATACCAAAAGATTCTTCACAACAACCAGCATGAAAGGTAAAGCTCCATATGTAGATCAAAGATCCTTTGCAGAGGTATTAAAAGGGGAACCACCCACTGCAGCTGGTAATGTTAGCATGAACATAAAAGTTGATGAAGTTGGTCATGTATGGCTATATGACAGTGTAATAATCAGACTCAATGCTAAGTATTCCACTCATGATATTGGTAAAGCTCTGAAGGCAAATGGTCTGGACCAGGTTCTAGTTAGACAAGGGGGAGGCTGTGATGTAGTTTTAACTTTCAAATCTTCAGAGGAGCTGAAGTCTAATATCTGTAATATTAAAGAATGGTTCAAAGATTGGAGCCAGTTTGTGGTGGAATGGAAACCAGATTTCCACTATGAACAAGAGAGATGCTTGTGGTTGAGATGTTATGGCATCCCCTTAAATTGTTGGAACAGAAACACATTTAACAGCATTGGAAGTATTTGGGGCTCTGTTCTCAATTTGGATGGGGATATCTGTCAACCAAAATCCTTCTCCTACTCCAAAGTCAGAGTGGTTACGTCATGTATGGAGCCTATCAACAAAACTATTTTCCTGGAGTGTAAGGGTAAAGTCCACCCCATCCTTGTGTGTGAAGATCATAGTGCAGATCTTAGCATCATGAAGCTTAATGGTATGGAAGATTGTAGTTCTAATGTTCTTTGTTCTAGTAAAGAGGCAGAGACTTTCCTAGAGAAGGGCTGTAGGGAGTATGAAGATGATGATGAGGTGGCAGCAGGATGTGACAAGCTTGCTGCTGAGTTGGTATACACCAATGAGGTAGTACCGAGGAAGGAGCCTACTGCATGTCGCACTAGAAAGAAGGCAAGCACTGTAGTTGAGGAGACAAAGTTGGATTCACAAAGCTACAGCAAGGAGGGAGCGTATGTAGAGGTAATGATGCTGGAAGAGCCTGTGCACAGTCCTAAAAGTAATGATGGCAATCAGAGGTGTGTTGAGCAAGTCTTTACACAGGGTTTTATAAAAAGCTTTAGTGGGTCTAGAGAGGGTCTCCAGCCTGGCATTAATCTGGAAGTGGATCTGGCCCAATCAATTAGCAACAACCTTGTTAGTGATCCTTTCTCCAGGCCTATTGAGCCTTGTAATGTTAAACCTGGTTGTAATGGGCTCTTGGCTTTGTGCCTAAACCATTCGCCAGCAGAGTCACCAGAAACTGTAGACAGAGTCGCGTGGGGCCCTCGCTACAGTTCGGACTCGATTTGTGTCACGATTCTTAATCTGAACCAAAGAGTCCAAATCTGGCAAACCATTTTGGGAAACAGATTTTTGAAAAGAAGTGCTAAACATGGACTGCTTTGCCAGATACAGAGTCGCCACCTAAATATTTTAAAATAGGGGAATTTAGGAAACCCTGACTCGGTGCCAAAGGCCACGTGTCCGTCATTGCCAAAGTTGCCTCGGCTCGGGAGCTTGGGTACGATTGGGGAAGGTCAGCTATGAGCACCCCCTCTCGCCTGGTCTGAAGACCGGCCTCTACTAACCGTGATATCCGTTTTTGAAAACGTTATGTGTTCTTATTCCATTTATTAGCTTAGAATTACTACGTTATGCGCACGGCAAACAAGTATAGACTAGATCGCCTAACTTGGAAATAAGCATTGCATATCCGTTTATTTTGGAAAACGTTTTGGAATTTGCTACTCGCAAGTAGGCTAAAATACGGATTTCAACTAGTTTTTCCAACTCAGGTAATCCAACCTTCACCCACAGGCAATCAGGCAGTTATATCACATAAGCATTTAGCTACATGATAAGCATACTGTCATGATAGCATTCACACGCATGCGATATGCTAAAGCATAAATACTTACAATGTACTCCGTGCCAAAACAATAAACTAGTTACCAAACATGCGTGATCCTAGTTCATGTTAAAGTGGCTAATGCAACTCATGCAAGATGCAATTAGAGTAGGCTCGGCTAACCTAAGCATGGCATGTGAAATGCAGTCAATTGATGCACGTATTCAATTTAGAATTGAAATACAAATGTAGTTAGCATGATGTACCGAGCCCGGTGCATGCAATACAAGATGCATGAATGCACGCATGCATAGCATAAGGTATGCTAATTTAAATATGCCCTAGTCTACCATCATAAGCAGGTAAATAAAAGGGAAGAAAGACGTGGGGTTGGAAGACATACACACACTCACGCACACTTATTACACAATTACCCTCACTCGGAGGGTCCGAATAAATATTACAGTCCGAATAATAAGCAAATAAATTATTACAGAATTTCTAATTTACTTAACAGAATGAATGCAAAAAAAAGGAGAAGGGTGGCCACAGCCTCCGCCTCGGGATGCGCGAATGATGCATGCTCGAACCCGCCTTGCCCGGAAAGTCCGTACCATACCAAGGCTATCTCTGTTTACACTGCCCTACTTCTCTAAAAAAAATGCCAAAGTTCTGGGACAGGTTTGTTGCATACTGCAGAGTACCACCGGCTGGGGGAAATGCCCACCGGCAGTGCATAATTTCCATCGGCTGCTTCTGGAGTTATCGGCCATTCACCTATGGCCGGTCGGCATTGAATACTGCCGGTCGGCAGAAACTTCCTGCAGGAGACAGTTTTGACAGTAACAGAGAACAGACAGTATATGGCATGGGATTTCAGGCACATGTGAGCATGGTCATGTTTCCCATCATGTGTTGAACTCAAGGAAGCATGGCCCTCGATCCTTGAGCCATCAATGGTGCATGATAGCCCAAGGGATCAAGCTTGCCACTTGATGTAAAAATGCATACAACACACAAATGAGGACCGAGACCTTATCATGTCAAAGTCAAAGGCCCCGGTGATCGAGAGTTAAGGCACGTTGCACCACTTACAGTATGAACGCTCCTTAACCCTCACACTTGGTTTGACACCCCAAACCAAGTAATGCAATGCATGTTATGCTCACATGGCTCAAAATGCAACATGATACTAATTATGCAAGGCATGCCAAATGCCATGCAACTACTATGGCAGATATGCAATGCTAGGCATGCAAGATGCAAATGCAATGCAAACATGGACAATTTAAGCAATAGGATCATCATGTTACAACACCTAATGAAGCAATCATGCAACAAACATGAAACAAGCATGCAATGGTGGCTTAAAATGGTAAAGGGGTAGACCTTAATTCACCTCAAAACAGTGCCGAAAAGTGCCCAAAATGATGGACAAACTCTCATGCCAACATGCAAGCCAATGGACCTAAGGCTAAGGCACAAAAAGGGGGGAATGCATGTTGATGCAATCTGAATCTGATACCCACGGATATAACTGATTCTCAAATTCTGATACCAATGCCCTTAGGCCTGATGCCCCAAACTTGCAAACTGGTATGTGCATTCCTGTAGAGATACACTCTAAAAGCACATAGCAAGTAAAGAGAGCCAAAACACCCCTATGTTGGGGTAGGGTTTCCCTGTCCTATTTTGTCAGGAGCTAAGGTTCCACTATGCACATAGTAGTTTTCAAACAACCTAACATCGGGTAAGCAACCTGTCCTAGCTTGGAATGGTCACTATGGATTTTGATATGCACTAGGTCGACTGGTCGAAAAGGGTGCCCCAGTAAAATCGGGGTTTGTGTTCCCATACTAGGCCAATATATTCAAGGCTCACAAGCCAAAACACAAAGAGAGGACACCAAACATGGCAAGCATGACTGAAACAAATGGCCAACAGACCTTAAACATGGTGAATTAATGCCAATACCTTCATGAATTTAAGCCAATACATGCAAGAACCATGACCTAAACACAAGATGCATTTCTAGGCC